ACATTTCCATTTTTGGAGTTAGAGAAGGATCTACAAGGCCAATAAAAAGTTGTGGGACTAGGTGTCTTGCACTATATTTTAAAATTAAAAATCACGTGAAATTCGATAACTCGATAAGTCGGTCACAGGGGTTCGCCCCGACATGACCGACTTATCGGGTTTATTTACTTTCCAAAGTTAAATAACAGTAATAGGCAAAGATCTACGTCCTACATAATTTTGGCTTGAATGATCATCTAATTGAACATAAAAAACTCACTTTTAGACTCGTGAATTGGGTTATTTTAAGATATTGTTATTATTAGATCAAGTAAAAAATTATATAGATTCTATTTAAAATAAATTGGTAAAAATGATGGAGATCGAGCCTAATAATGAAGAAGTTCCTTTACAACAAGAAAACTCAACTGACACCAGTGCTTCTGCTGCTGCTGCTGCTGCTGCTGCTGCTACTACCACTTCAACAATTACAACAACTACCAACAATGTCCCAACTTCCTCGGTTGTTTCAAATGCACCAAATAATTCTGGATTGATGGTTTCTTTGTTAGTATCAAAATATTTTGTTGGATTCAATTTGAACTTCAGATTTCTTTCTTGATTTTTATATAAGTTTTTTTTTGGGGGATAAAAAAAAATAGGCATCCATTAACACTATTAAATATATCAGATCATTATATAAGAACAAAAATGCAAACTCAATCAGATGGTAATGTTTATAATAATAATATTGGAATTATTGTATTATTTAATTAAACTTATTCTAACATATTATATTTAATAAAAAATGCGTATTATAGTAACGGTGCTTGGAGCTCTTCTTGGAAGACAGTCAGGGCGTGATGTCGAGATTACTAATTCGTATGAATTAGCTTATGATTTAATTGATGGAAGGATTCATATAAATAATGAATATTTTGTGACAAAACAAGAGCAATGTAAAAAATTCATTTTTATTTATTTTATTTGCTTAAAAATATTTCTTTGTTCTAAAAATATTCCAATATTATTATTATTGTTTCTTGGTGGTGAATGCGATAAATAGTTCGACAAGTTTTTCCTCAATTTGATTTCTTGGGGTGGTATACTTTGGGAATACAACCTACCGAAGAAGACATAGAAATTCACAAGCAGGTTACTGACACATTTAATTAATAATTATATATACATTTATATTTATATTTATTTATTTATTTATTTATTAGATGATCGAATTTAATGAAAGTCCGCTTTTTTTACAAATGAATCCTTTCGAGATGGTCACATCTAAAAATCTTCCAATCACTGTCTACGAATCAATCATTGATATAATTAATGGACAAGCACAAACATTATTTATAAAATCTCAATACAAAATTGAAACCGGTGAAGCTGAGCGTATTGCTGTTGATCATGTTGCTCATATAACTATTGGTGACGGAAGTGAAGGATCTTCACGTTAGTATAAACTATATAATTATGGTTATTATATAATTGTTATCATTATTTACGAATATTTGTTGACATTCATGTGATAAAGTGATTGCGCATTTAACCACTCAAAGAAATGCAATTAAGATGCTACATACCAGAATAAAACTTCTACATAAATATCTTGTTAATTCCAAGAATGGTAAGCAAAATCAATAAAATTTTGCTTTTTATTAGATAGATGGAGTTGTTAACATTTATTTATTTATATATTGATAAATAGATCCATCAACAGTAGATCATGATATTCTTCGTCAAATCGCTGGACTTTGTAATCGTTTACCAACAATAGATGGATCAGATTTCAATCAAGAGTTTTTAACAGTTAATTATCAAAAAATAAAATTTTTTTTTGCAAAAAATTTTTTATTTTCCTTCAAAAAATAATTTTTAATTTTTATATGGGAAATAAATAATATTTTTAGGAATATAATGATGTATTGTTGACTTCATACTTGGCTACCATAACAAAAGGAACAAATTGTGTCAATGAGGTATTCAAATTATATAAGAGTATAAATGTGAATATTTATTTATGTATAGAGTTTGCTCTAAAATGCAAAAAACATTTAAATTCACAGCTGGTTGATAAATTTAATATCGCAACTAGTTCAAACAGATCAGGAGGACGCAATCGTCACCAACAAAATTTTCCAAATTTTTAGATCAAGGTGATAATAACAAACATAATAATCATAACAAGATTGATAATTGCAACAACAACAACAACAACAACAACAACAACAACAACAATAAATTGCAAATTTTTAAAAATCTTTTTTTAAATAAACGAAAATTGTTTCTTATTTGTAATTAAAAAATTAATGAATGAATTATTTTTTAAAAACAATTCACGCAACCGTTGTTGCTATTGTGAAATTTAATGCATCACATTTACCTATATACATAATTTATTTAAACTTAATTAATACATGCAATATTATTGATTTAAGAGTTATTATTTTTGTCTGAAAAAAATTTTTTTCCTTTTTATTTTGTGAGAAAAAATCAAATAACATTGCTTTAGCATTTCGTTCACTACAACTAAGAATGATAACACTGATTATAATAATTGCAATATAATATCACCATAACTATTGCTACTACTAAATTAATAAATAATAATGATGATTTTATTGATTATTGTCTTCCTCTTTCTTCTTTTTCTTCTTATCTTCTTCATTGTCATTATCGTTGTCGTTGTTTGTAGATGATGATGGGTAACCTTGTAAAGCATTTCTAATTTGTGGATCATTAGGATCAACTCCTGGTAAAGATTGAAGCAGTTCACTCATGAATTCTGGATCTTGCATAACATTATAATCATCCGTTGTTATCTTAACATTCTAAAAAAAAAACCCCCCCAAATAATTCTTATTAATAATAGTCAGAATTTAATAATAATGTTAAGATAAATGAATATAATTCTTACAGATTCACCATCTCCTTGCATTGACATTTGTAATGCACGAGCCATCTGTTCATCCTCGGTAAGTTCCTCCATATGTACATCATCAGTCTGTTATTAAATAGCAACAGTATTAATATTAACATTATCACCATTAAAATTTAAAAATACATCTTTATCACCCTCTTTCTCCTCCTCTCCTCCTTGCTTCCCTAAATCAATTGAACATACTTGATTTTCTGTGTTAATAATTGTACTAAGTTCAGCTTTATCAGTACTGCCTCCTCCGATTGTTTGATCAATAGCCATTGTTGATGACTCTGCTTCTTGATTAGAATTTGAAGTGGTGGATACCTCTGCTGCTTTAGCTTCCTGTCTTGCCTTCTCTTCTTCTAGTGAAATACGTAAAGCCTATATATTGATTATTCATTTCGTTAATTGATTTATATATTATTGATCGATTGATTGAACTAAACAAAACTAGATTATATATATAAACATTGTATTTATGAATATTTACCAAAGCAAGTTCGGGATCAAGATTAGGATCAACACCAAACTCAAAGCTATTTCCGCCGCCTGCGGCAAAACCAGCAGGAACACCATCTTCTCCCGCTAATATAGCCGATGATAATAATGCATCACTAAGTATATGAGGTCCTGGTGGAACTGTTAAAATATGACTAATGATTATGTAATAATTTAGCAACGATTATAATACTACTATTATTACTAATCTTGCTGATTGATTATCATTAATACCTGTTATCACCACTATTGACAGCGTTTATGAATGCTTCTAATTTTGAATTATTCTCTGATTCTTCTCCAAAGTTAATAATATCCACTGCAACATTATTTTTTTTCATTTTCTTACCCAACGTTACTAATGCATTCTTTTCAATATCAATTGGACTGCCAATAAAAACTATGATGCGTTGTTTTTGATTTTTATTTTGTCGATGTTTAAGTGCAAGCTATATATTTTTTTAAAAAAATAAAGAAAATAATAATAATAGTAATTATTATTACAAAATTAGATATCATGTTAATCAATGACAGTGATCCATATTAATTATTATCATAATAGTTGTAGATTACCTGTGCAACTTGAATACCAGTTGTTAGATTTGGTTTTCCACCGATTTTAATGTTATGTAATGCAGAATATATTTTACCAACATCAGAAGTTAAAGTTACAAGAACTTCTGGACTAAGTGAATATATGTGTGTAGAAAATTTTTGTTAAATTTAATTAAATCTGACATAATATATGATAGAAATGTTTATATATATATATATATACCCTTTACCAGCCATAGTCAATAAACCTACAGTGTTTTCCGGGTTAGCTTGAATTTTTGATCCAAATAAAAGATTTACACAATCTTTTTGTGCTTCAAGTCTAGTTGGTGTATAATCACCATTACGCATCCATTCTGAATTATCCAATCTTTATATTTTATATATAATGTTAATTAAAATCATTATAATCGTAAAATAAAGAAAACAGATTTCATACACGATCATTGTTGCTTCTAAAACCATTTTGAATATTTGAATTTTCTTGAATTTTTAAGTTGAAATTTTTTACTTAAATTAAAGATAAAATCTCAATTAACTAGATTCGTTTCCTTTTTAATAAATCAGAAAATTGGGGAGTTACACGACTAGTTGTCGCTACATATCAGGGCTGGCCGCGTAACCCTAATATTAATACTAATACTGAACCCATGCCTAAAACCTAATATAGAAATGATTGTCTTGCATTTTTTGTTTTTATTATATATAATAACTAGAAGAGTATGAAATGAGTAGTAGGGGCATGCTAACTATAACATATGCACTAGATGAACAAATTCAAGATTGGAAGGGGAAAAGTGGCGAAATTGATCAAGAAATGATTTTAGATTGGTTAAATTCAAAGACAAGTAACTTGATTGTCAATAATAACAATAGCAGCAACAATTATGAAATCATCAACAACAACAATAATATAACTGTACCAAGTTCTCCTACTAGTTCAAGCTCTTCTACTAGTCCAAATTCTCCAACTAATCCTACTAGTCTACTACCATATAAAAAACATCCATCATATGTTGCTTCATCCACTGATAAAAATAAGAAGCCAAATTCTGTACAATTTATTGATGATAACAATACAACAAATACAGCAAATTCACCAATAGCTAGTAGAAGTCCATCACGAACTAATACTCCTTTATCATATGTTGCTTCATTAACTGACAAAAATAAGAAGCCAAATTCTATACAATTTATTGATGATAACAATACAATGAATACAACAAATTCACCAATAGTTAGTAGAAGTTCATCACAACTTGATACTCCTTTGTCATATATTAGCTCATTAACTAATAAAAATAAGAGACCAAATATTATGCAATTTAATGATGGTAACAATACTGTAAAATAGTAAATTATAAATCACGGGAAACGAACATATAAATCGGAAATGATTTACATGTATCACGAAGTGAAAATTGGGAAGCGATTATCACGGAATAACTCAACAAGAAATAAACCAGTATAATTTAATAAATGTTACACTAATTAATAAGGCGCACCAATCAAATTAATAGCTCTCGGAAAATAACCCAAATATTGGAGATATAAATATTCCAACATTCTAAAGTGTAACGGATTACAAAGTCTCAGAATAATATTTAAACGAAAGAATTTTACATGACTCACATTGACTAGAAATTACTTGAAAATAATTCTACACAGAAGGTTCAAATGATATTTAAAGAACATATTAATTAGTATAAATTAGGATTTCAACAAAGTCAGATAACTAGATGATAGAACCTTTAACATGTATAAATATGTTGTAAATTTCTCTTTCATGTAATAATCAGTTAATTCATTTCTTAACTATTATCTTGTAATAACAATAATATCTTATTAATAAAAATACAAACATAAATATCTCTCAAAATACTCTTTTGCCAGTGGAATTATCCACCTACTTCCAAAACCACATAAACCTTTAACTCTAACTTAATTATTAATTAATTACTATCTTACCAGGGGGACGCCTTTGATAAGTATAGTTGTGTGCATATTTTCTTTTAATTTTATTTTTCTTATTTTTATTTAGATTAGGCCGACATCTAAATAGTGGAAATCCTAGTTAGGTGAGGTCAGTTAAGAGACTGAATCATAAATATAATAATCAGTGTAGAAAGTATCATGATGGATACTTCAAATATTATAAATATCATTGCAACATGCCAGCTCAGGCAGATAACAAAGAACTGCTGAGAAAATCATCAGGAAATTTTTCTGATGTAGATTTATGTAATTATTACACTATTTACGTAAGTTTACGGCAGGCCTGTAATATTATGCAAATAAGCATACAAAAATTATGCAATTATTACATCAAGTGTAAATATTACATAATTTTTATGCAAATATTACAACTTTACATATTAAAATTTACGGACGTAATATTGTGGCAGGGAAAATTTCCTAATGATGTTACTGGAAGGGAAGTAAGGAAACTTGCCCTGTGAATAATTAAATAGCTTGAGCACTATAGTGAGAAAAAGTAATCAAAGAATTACATAATTGGATACTACCATAAGAAGGGATAAATAATATTCTAACCAAATCCAAGAGATTTGTGTGAGACTATAGATGTTAGCTGAAATTGCCTCTCTTAATAAATGATCATTGCCGAATCCGAAATGCCAAAATAGTTTCTAAAATTAACTTTATTAGTTGCCAAAATTATATCCAAAATTATTTGGACTCATTAACATAATAGCCGAAATGCTAGGTTGTCTTTTTATGGTCTTTAATATGAAAAATATTGTGAATCTGAAATTGCTTGCCGAAATTGATTTTTTCAAAAACAATTTTGGCTAACATCCTTATGTGAGATGTGGATTTTGATCTCACAGTACATATTAATATACTCTCCCATACGGATGATTAAAAAACTAAGTTAGATAGTAAATCATGTTTCTTCCAACTTTCATTTCTTTTTAGGTTTTGGGTCAAGGTTCTTTTTATTAGTTATGATTTTTCTTTCTTTTTAAGTAATCCTTTTTTTTCTTAGATAAGTTTCCAGTGTTTGAGTATCATTTATAAAGATGTTAGCCGAAATAGATTTTGAAAAAATCAATTTCAGCAGGCAATTTTGGATTTATAATATTTTTCATAACAATGGACATAAAAAAACTACACAGAATTTCGGTTATTGAGCTAAAGTGTTCAAATAATTTCGAATATAACTTCGGCAATTAATAAAGTTAATTTCGGCAACTATGAAAAACTATTTTGGCATTTTGGATTCAGCAACAATCATTTACTAAGAGAAGCAATTTCAGCTAACATCTTTAATCATTTATTTGTAAATATAAGGAGCAATTTTTTCACCTTGCTCCTTTCTCAAAATACTTCTGATTGTACTATAATTCTTGGGTTCCATAGTAGATCTGATATAAATTAATTTCATATTAACTATTTTTATATAGGGGCAATTCTATATATCATTTGAGAAACAGGAAAGGTAACAAAAATGGGACATTATAAAATTGTTAATATTAATTGCATTACTATTACTATTACTATTACTATTACTATTACATTTGTGATGAATGACTAAATTTTGATCCCTGAAATTCTTGGTAATACCAATGTTCACTTTGTCTGGTTTTGTTTAAAGACTAGTGCTGTAAATTATGATTATGGTAGTAATTGTATTTACAACATATAAAAAGTGGTTGCAATTACCTTTGCGGCCACTTTTGCAACCATACATTTTCCTTTTTTGGATTACGGCACTAGTCTTTAGTTTTGTTGCAGTATGCCCCATATAAGAAATATAGTAATAAAACTAGGTAAAAAATATTTTTTTGAAAGAATCCCTGATGAGTGGATATCAATAGAAAAAACAAATGATAATATTGATACACCTGCTTTAGAAATATCAAACATGGAAAGAAAACAACTACCTGATTTAACAACAACAACACAAGAACTTGACAAATACAATATAAAAATTACAATATCCATCATAGATGACAAAAAAATCCAAAAAAATCTCCATTTTTCATATAACAAGCAATTTTCGACCATGATAAAATTTTTAGAGCCAGACTGGAACTTTCTA